ATTGTTCACTCTGTTTTCATTTGATTCTAAGTTTGTACTATCAACTCAAAGATTAAATGCACTATTACCATGTCACCAAATTCAGAAACTATTAGGCATGGAACCACAGCCTAGTGGATTAAAGTGTTGGTTTCAAAGAGTTTTTGGGATATTGGAACTCCAAAGGATTTGTAGATATTATAAATTCAGAAGTCTCCAGTAGTGCATCCATTCTTTGTAATCTTACTAGAGTTTATACTTTATAAGAGAAGAGTTTTATGAAAAATTTATGTTTACAACATATAAGAGTGAAAAAGAATATAAGAGAAAGGCTGTTTCCTTAGACTTGAAGAACACAGACTGCACTTAAAGGAGGTTGAGAATCTGGTATAATAGATTTATCTGAAGAGAAAAATTTACATTTGTAATATGTCTAAATATTACAATAGATACAGAATGAGGAAATTGAAAGAATTAGCATGGGACAAATTGTTGGCTCGATGCATGTGTACATTTCAACATGGTACGGCTTCCATTGATCAACTGGAACACTGTACAGAATTCTTTGTTTAATAAAAAAGGAATTGAGAATATCACTATGCTAAAAATTATAAAAACAAACTGTACTACATATGTTGCTGAAGACAGAATAATTTATATTACAAGTGTTACTGTTCATGTATAACTTTTCTGTTTGCTGCTGTTTTTTGCTTTGCACTTCTGGAAAATTGATACCATTAATTTTTTTTCCACATAAATAGTACAATTAAGAAGGCCACAGAATAGATCAGCCTAAATCTTTTGGAAACAATCCTTCCTTAGGTTCCATGCATGATGCCTGATTGGTCAATAATCTCTTTTTTGATTCATGATTGACTTGGCAAAAGAATTCCTACAGTAGGCTGCCATTACTTTCTGTGGTAGATTGGTTGCCAACCAAGGCTATAAGACTCAGTCTGTTCCGCTATTTAACTCATAACTTGGGGGGGGGGGTTAGAAGAGATCAATTTATACGTTCCCAAGGGTATTTGTGCATAAGTGAATGTAATGAACAACTACTAGAATTTGAACTCAGCTCTCTGATTTCTCATTCCAAGCCATCATCCATTACACCCCCCTGCACATTACAAATTCACTTGTCTGAAAAACTCTTTCTAAAATACAGATTCATATCATACATCAAGTTTATAAATAGTATATTCTTGCTTTTTATTAGGAAATAGTTTCTAAGTCAAAGGCTAAACAAATTGTTTATAAAAATTATAGTTAATTTACAAATAGTTTTTAACAAATAGTTTTAATATACGTGGCTTTTAGCTTATGCTAAGCAGTATTTGTAGACAAGTAAAAAAGTTAAAAGCCAAGAACATACAGGCTCTGTTACACTTGAAGAAGAAAAATTCTAATACAAAGAAAATATATATATTTTTTTGTAAGCAAGCTATAACAGATATTTAGAGTCAATAATATTTTTTAGTCTTCCTCATAGTGTTGAACTTTAATTTAGTTTTGCAACAAAATTTGTATCAGTATTTGTTGCCTATTACTAATCCTTTTTCTCAATAAGGAAATATATGATGGGCCTAATCTAGAATATTCCATTAAAAAGAAGGACTTTATAAGGTTCTTTTAATGAATGAACTGGAAGCAATAGACTTAGATATCATTAAGAGTTTCATCACTTGAGGAAAGACTTATTTTGGTTTGTTATTGTACAAAGCCTATCCAGAAAAACAGTTTGTCTATATGTGCCACTGATAAACTAAGTTAAATTGTTCAAGTTCTTTTTTATTTTGGGGTTATGTGTACAAGTTATGAAACATGTATCTTGTGTACACTCTGAGATATAAACAAAAACATAGCTTGGTATGTTTTCCATTACAAAGTAATGGATACTGGCTTTTATAAATATAAATAGACTTATCAGATGTTATATTATTTTTATATCATGAAAATGTCTGCCTCATTGCCATTTTCCTATATTTTAAATATTATCAGATCTTATTTATTATTATTATTGTTGCATTATAAAATGTTTAATATTTATTTTCTATATCACATTATTATCATATATATTATTTTTTTATTATAAAATATTGACATTTGTTTTCAATATTATGATTTATTACTTTTTACATTATAAAATTTTCATTGATATTTTTGTCTATATTATACTACATTATTTATATGATGTTTTATATATATTATTCATCAGATATTATCTATATATTATTATATTTATTTTTTATTTATAAAATGTTCCTTGATACTCATTGTTAAACACTTCTAGAAGAGCGTGATTTCAAGAAAAGAAAAAGTAAAGTAACCATGTTCAACACTATGTCTTTTCTTCTCTTGAAATCACTCTCTTCTGGAAGTGTTGCAAAATATTGAAAGAGTTACATCAAGTATTTTGTTTATTCTCATTATTATTATTATTATCATTATTGAGATATTATTTATTACATTATTGTTATGTTATTCATTTATGTTATTAATTTATATATTATATATATCCCTTGATATTTGTTAATTATCTCCTACAGCAAATAAAACTTCTTTAATTTTTTTTATCTGAAGCAATCAGCACACTCAAAAATAAAAATATTATTACAATAATAATAATAATAATCTTCTTTAACATAGTTTTCATTTTCAAGTAGAAATCTTACATTATGTGTGCTCTCTATCAAGTCATACAACCTTGGACAGAAAGCACCTTTCACAGAATATTTTTTTTAATCAAATTCACCCCAAGCAAGGAAGACACAAAGAGGTTACTGGATGTGAAATGATTTGAAAACAGAAAACATTATGAACAAGTGAGAACAATAGTAGAGTATTCAGGAAGACAGTAGATAACAATTGGCATTGCATTTAAATCTTTGAAGATCAAAGTTGGCTGGAAAACATGGAGCAGGAAGAGAGTTCCACAAGCAAAATGTGCAAGAAAAGAAATTGTTAATATAGAACCAACTGTTACATCTAGCCAATTCTACCATAAATTGATGAGACTTTGTTGCCAATCTAGTACTGCACTTAAATTCAAAAAGTCTAGGTACTATAGCAAGGAGTTCATACAATTACCATGAAAGTATTTATAGAAAAGGCACAGGGAAGCAACTTTATGGCAATGAAAATGTGACTAAAACTGAGACACCAGGTCAGGATCAATATTGTTGCTGATTCTCTTAAGCCTAGGTGAATGGTAGATTTATAGATATGTAAAATAAATTCTGGAGAAGAAAACTGTCTAGCATGACAGTAAACCAACTTTGTTAGCAGCTGACCTAGTAATGGATTCAATGTAGTCTTTCCACTTCATGTCAGCCAAGAATGTTAACTTGAGAAAGTGCAATGAGTCACTCTCCTGGAGGTCGGCATAAGCCATGCTGATGGAAGGCAGAAAGGGGTCTCTCAGATGATTAACAGAGAGCAGTTTAGTTTTAGAGGCATTAAAATTAACAAGCCATTCTTTGCCCCAGTTAACAACAGACTGTATGTCCTTTGTGAAATCAGCCACCAATTTGACCTTGTCGAACTTATCAGATTTAGTATCAAGACAGGAATAAATGGTTGTGTCATCAGCATAGATACCAAGTTGAGAGCTGATGCTATCAAGAAGGCTACTGACAAAAATTAAGGATAGGACCCTGGGGCATTAGTACAGAAAAATCTAGAAGAGACGCTGTTCAGGACAACTCACGTTTGTAAATATTATTCACGAAAGAAATAAATAAATTCTTCTTCCTTAAACTATTTGTGTTATGGATTGTTCTCTATCGATCACATGAACATTCCTCAGTAGTATCTTCTTTAACTAACCCTGTGCCATTTAAGTTGTCAAGTTATATATGAAAAATATCAAATAAAATAAGTATTCTTGCCAACCAAAAAAGTAATAGCTTAGTTTTTTCAGGAATCCTTAAACAGAACCCTGAGAAATACAAGAGGATACCGAAAACTTCTTGGCCCAGCCCACTTCTCAAAAACCAGTATACTAATATTTGATCATTAAAATACTGATTTTGGAAATGTGTGTCAGACTGTGAACTTTTCAACATCCACCCTTATAAATATTTCAGCAATTTAATATATCTTTGTAGATATTTTTGTCAAACTACATGAACTCCATGTTTATTTGTACAATCTTTAGTAACAAAATAAACAATCAAATAATGCACAATTTAAGTATCAAATGACAAGAGAAAACTGAAGAAAGAATGAAGCACATTTACTATTTTCTATACCATTATCTCCTGGCTTCTTTTCTAGTCTTTCATCCAAGTAGCACAGAAGCTTCCTCACAGACATTTGGTTGAAATACTAGACTGAACCCCTTTCTGTATATTATTCTTGAATTAAGTAAAATGTAAAATCACATTGAAAAAATATTTCAAGTTGAATTAAAACTAGTAATAAAATAATAATAAAGATTTTAAAGCAAATAAACTGAAATATTTTTCTTGTTTTTTTTAGAAGAAATGTTTTATTTATATTATTTACATTGTTCAGACTGTTATCCTCATTTTTTTTTTTGGCTTATTCACAATGTTTTACCCGTTGTATGCTCTGGCCTTTTTCAGGTGATTGGAATTTCAAACTGAACACTTTCAAAGATGAGGACAATAGTCCGAACAATGTAAATAGTGTAAATAATTACAATATCTCATCTCAGAAATATAGACAGAGATGTTTTATTTTAAAATTTAACTATATCTTAGTCAGTGTGGACAAATTTTCTTTACTCATTTTTTTTTATTTTGCTTTTTGTGGAGTTTTTTTTTTTCATTGCCATCTTTTTGACTCAAATCAACCAGCAAAACTAAGGAATTGTTTTTGTTTTAATTTCTTTAAAGTTTTAAATGCAATACATATAACTTCTCATGGATGCAGAAAATAAAAATATTTTAATTTTTTTCTATACTTTAAATTGTGACTAAAACTATCTTGAAGGAATTTTTAAATCATGACTTTTTATATTTTTCTAACTCTCTTTATTATTTTTATTTCTATTTTAGGAAGGTGTCAACCGATGCCAATGTTGGAGCTACAGTTGATGAAAACTCTTAAACATTGCTTCTGTATTTTATGTTGCCTGCTTGTGTTTCCTAATGATGGATTCAAATATCAGCTTTTGTCAGTTGGAAACTCCATTTTCACTTGTGCTTTCTGGGCCACCCTGTCCTGCTTATAACCCTTAACTACAGCTAACTGACGTGACAAAATGCTGACCAGACAACAGCTAAGTGTTGTTGATCACTGCTTTGTGGACCTTGTGGTCCTGTTTACTACACAGCTAACTTCTGCTGATCATGGTCCCTAAATAGACTGCATGCTGGTTGACCAACTAAGAAGTTTGGAATAAGAGAGACAAAGCAAATAAGGAAGGCATCTGTTGCCAAGACTTCAAGTTTATTTGTTGGACTCCCAAAATTATGAAGAATATGACAAAGAATGACAAAGTGTATCTGCTGCATTTTCAACAAAACACTTGCGAGACTGAGATTTGAATGGAAAATATTTACAAAACAGATTATTATTATTATTAACAATAAAAACTTGTTTTATTTTTTTTATTCACTTATACAGAATACAAAGGTGACTTTTGATGGGAATCTGCATCAGAAAAATGAAAAACATCAAAGGTTAAAGTGATATCTTCAATTTTTTCCATGCAAGATCAAAATCTGGAAGCATTTATATAAGTGAAGGAACTTTTATTAAAAATACTCATTTATAATATATATATATATATATATATATATATATATACGCACACACACATATGCAAAAGTAGGTATAGAGTAACTTTGTCAAAACTCACCTCCATGGACTTCTTTTTCTGGGGATGTTTAAAGAATATATATTTTGTGTTTCATTACTGTATACCAACCTTTGCATCCCTGTGTGTGTGTATATATATATATACACACACACACACACACACACTAACTTATGTCTTAAATTAAACACACACACATATATATCTCCAAGAGGTGGTGAAAATTTCTTGGCCCATCTCCACCTTCCAACAATAATATTCTGATGTTTGGAACATGAGTTGAACCAAGAATCTTTTAGTACCTTCTATCTTATATATATATATATATACATTTGCATATGCATACTTTATGTAAGTTTGTGCATTATAAGCCATATGTATGTATAAAATTTTCAATTTATCTATAAACCTTTTTTTCTTTTACTTTTATAATTTCACAAGTGTTATTTTTTCCTTTTTCTTTTCTAATACACTTAAAGATAAAATGATTTATCTGAAAGAAATCATAGAAAACTTCCTGAGAATAATCAAAAAATAAAATAAAACTATTGTTAGATTTTTTTTCTCCAAAAAAGAATTCCTGGCACTCAACTTCTCACTGTTCTTATTTTTCTAAATTTAAATTGAACAGTACATTTGTATTTTTCTTTTCTTTTTGAGGGGTGGGTGACACCTTTTTTGTCTATTTTTTTGTGATATCAGTGACACTTTTTTCACTATATACACATACATATATATATATATATATATATATATATATATATATAGTTTCCTCTTAATTCTTTGGGGAACATAGGGCCACAACAACACCTCTCCAATAAACGTGGTTCTGGGCGATCCTCTTCAGCTTGGCCCATGTCATACCGGCTGCCTTCACCTCTGCGTCAACAAGAAGTGCACCAAGTGTGTTTTGGTCGGCCTACTTTTTGTTTCCCTTGTGGATTCCAGTCAAGGGCCTGCTTGGTGACACTAGAAGTAGGCTTGCAGAGTGTGTGGCTGATCCATCTCCATTTATATTGAGAGGTGTGAGACATTTTTATTTTTGAGAGAGCAATCAGTGACACCTTTTTTGCCTTTTTTAAAAAATATTTTGAAGAATGGGCAACATTTTTTTAGAGGTGGATGCAACACATTTTTTTTTCTTTAAAATTGGGCAACACCTTTTTTTTTTGAGAGAGAGAGAGAGGTGGGTAACACTTTTTCTTTTTTCTTTTTTTTTTAAAGAAATCTACAAAGTACCTTGTATTCTGCACCAGAACTTTTTACGCGTATTCAAGAGAAAAACCACTATGAAAATCTGTCAGGCTGCTGACTGTGTTATTGATTTTTATTTATATATGTTGGTTTGCTATTTTTCTTATCTATTGGTCATTAAATCCATGTCCCAGTGTGAAAATGAATATCTTTACTATTTCCTTCAGGAAAGAAATGTCTCATCCAAAAAAAGTAATTTGATTTATTAAACTTGAAAAAAATATAAATTTATTTTAAACTAGTTTCTTAAACTGCTATCATGATGGTTTGCTGCATTGATACAAACTAACTGTATTTTAATAGTAAATGATGAAAGTAAAATAATTTGTCATTGTTATTATCTTTTGCTAATATTTAGGAATTAGATAAATAAAAGAACTGGCAATAATTTTTGTAAGAATTTAAATTTCCTAATATATCAAATTAACTTTACATTCTAATCTTCATGTTCTATTGCAACTTTGGAAGAAACTACAATTTATTCCAATAAATTTGTTATTAAAAAAGGCAATAATTATTTTCTATTTAAAATATTTAATATCTAGGCTATGAAATGAAAAACATTCCCAAACTATAACATTTTATTATTATTGGTAGTAGTAGTGATAATATTATCATCTTCATTATTAATAATGATCACAATCTGTAAATTGACATATTATCTGGAGATTCCTCTTCTCACAATTCCCATAAATCCATTTGGAAAATAGAATCAAAGATATCGGTAAAAATGTTCAAATTAACTTGTTTCTGTTCATCCATAAAAATCTTCCCGAGATTAATTTTCCCTTATCCATCTCTAAAAACAATTTAAAACCAATTGATTTCCTATTTCTTCACAGAGTAACATAAATTAAAAATTTTTCATACTTGTTTAAAAACAACTTCTGCTGTTCCAAAGTGAAAAAACTGGATTTCTTTGCTAGAATATCTGATAAAATACTGATATTATAAATTTAGACATTTATAAACATTATAAGTGACTTCAAGAACTATTTAATTTTTGTAGAAAAAAATCATACCAGGAAAATACAAAAATTACTCCATTATAATATGAAAACTAATCCAATAAACGGTAGAGTAATGGTTAGCGGCTCGGATTGAGGAATCGGAGAGCTGAGTTCGAATTCCAGCCGAATCCATTACATTCACTTACATGCTAATACCCTTGGAAAAGGTATGAATTCTCTTCTCCTCTCATCTATGGGTAAATAGGAGGACAGACTGGGTTCTATAGCCTTGGATAGCAACTGGTCTACTGCAGAAAGAAATGGCAACTTACTGCAGGAAAAAATCTGCCTCATCAGTCATGTATCGAAAGATGCATGATCGCCTAAGTGTGTATCACACATGGCACATAACTCACTGACTGACCCCATTATAATTGCATTAATTTCCCATTAAAATGTTATGAAAACTATACTTGTCAAAGTATTATGAAAATAAACCACAAATGTAAGGACAATTATTTCAGTCTTAATTAATAGCTAAAAATATAAGATATGTTCATTATCAAACATAATTATTTTAAAATATTTTTTAAAACCTTGCAACTTAAGATTAGACCTTTTATGCCACTATGCATGAACAAATAAATAAATATTGATTTATATAAATATTAATTGAAAAATATAAAATGCTAACTGAAAGAAGAAAAATATTTTTCTTTTAATTCATCAAATGTTAATGTTGGACAAGTGATGTCAATAAAATTATATCTAAGTAGATCTAACAACTTTCCATAAAGATACTACTTCAATTACTTTTCTAATATTTATGGATTTATGTCATAGAAAATCAATATAAATCAAAGAAAACTGATCTATAAAATGTTAAACACGAATTTGTATCTATTTTGCATAAAATTAAAACATGTTTGCATATGTTTTACTTAAATAGGAAATTTGTTTTATTATACATTGATTAGTTCAGACTAGTGTTCTCATCTTGATTGTCAAAACAACAAGGTTTTGGACATTGTACTGTTTGACCTTCTTCAGACATTTGTCATTATTTGTAACCTGGGAATTTTAAACTAAAAAAAACTCTTTCGTTAATCCACGGGATAAAATTCCATTGTTGATGCTAGGGGAGATAACTCGTGTCCTAATAAATTCATCCTTTGTCATTTCCAAAACTGGGTAATGTGCTTTTAAGCCCCGCGCTAAGTATCTAATAAAAAATTCTGTAATAGTTTTATTTAGGTGTAAATTTACATGCTAAATTCGAAAATAACAAAGAAATTTTGATAACATCTACCATTTTGGAATTATCGGCAATAACAATTCGAACTCAGTCGCGTTCATCGTCCGTTATTTAACTACATTCACTGCAGAACATTTTGAGCGCAGAAGCTTAATTAACGGCCTTTTTACTGGTCTTAACTCATCTTACTCATCTAAATTACTGCGCACTTAAGTTGTGTAGAAAGGCAATCACAAGCTTTTTAAATTAAAAAACAAATTAAATAAGATAAAACTTTTTTAAATTAAAAATAAAACAAATAATAATTAATGTGTAAACTTTTGTAAAGAGCATGAATATTTACAAAATAAAAAATGCTAGAAAGGAAATAATAATTAATATGCAAACTTTGTAAAGAGCATGAATATTTATAAAATAAAAAATGCTAGAAAGGAAATAATAATTAATATGCAAACTTTGTAAAGAGCATGAATATTTACAAAATAAAAAATGCTAGAAAGGAAATAATAATTAATATGCAAACTTTGTAAAGAGCATGAATATTTACAAAATAAAAAAATGCTAGAAAAAATAATAATTAATATGCAAACTTTGTAAAGAGCATGAATATTTACAAAATAAAAAATAAAATGCTAGAAGAAACTTTGTAATTAATATGAAAACTTTAATATGAACTTTGAAAAGATCATGATTATTTACAAAATAAAAAAAATGCTCCTTTCTAACAATTTTTTTTTATTTTGTAAATAATCATACTCTTTACAAAGTTTGCACATTAATTATTATTTCCATTCTAGAATTTTTCTTTATTGTGTAATTTTATTTTGTA